ATACAAAAGGTTAGGGAAAGTACCTGACTTTTAAGCTTTTCAATTTCTTCAATGAGGAACTTCTCCGATTGCAACAAGTTATTGTCTGCATTCATAGAATCGGAAGTGGTAGATTTTAATTGCGAGTAAGCAAACTGGAGATTGAGAAGATAATTGATGTCTTGAAGGATAAATTTGGGTAATCATGTGGTCCCCAGATCTTTTCTTGAAAACTTCAGGACATGAAACTTGCCCCCATCTGGGTAACTCATTCACCAAAGAAATGGTGTTACTGAAATTTTTCCTCTCATGGCATTGGCTGCCCTCATCAGAATAGTTTCTTGCTGATGTCGTCTGGCATAATGCTTCTTTCTTGTCGTGGTATGCCTTCTCAGACGTAAATAATGGTCTTGGGCTGTTTGTTCCAAACTTGAAATGACTACCTGGATCTAAAGCTCTGCAAATCTGATTAAAGCATTGATGACAGACTCGAAACGGCTTGTTCCTACTTGGTGCAAGGGACGCATTCATAGATTTTTTGTTGGTGCATGCTCGACAGAATAAAAGACCACAATTGTAACAGTTATGCTTCTTCCTTGTGAACCCAAAAGCCATGCTGCATCCTTTGCAAGCCAACTGGTCAGTACTAGATACTGATTTGTGTAAGCAAATTGCAGCTGTAGAACTTGGTCCGCATAAAATATGTTCTACCTGTCTTCCCCTCAGGGCCTCGACCAGAGTTGGCGAATTTCGATCTTTGATATCGCCCAATCCTAACTGTCCGTGTTCCCCTTTTCCCCAAGTATAAACGTTTCCCGTGGATGTTAAGGCAGCAATATGATAAGATCCTGAAGAGATTTCTCTGACAAACTCGTCAGAAAATTTCCCTCGTACAGCTACTATTGACTTGTCCCTGGATTGTGGATTCCCGAGTTGGCCATGTGCTGCACTTCCCATTGTATAAACTTTACCGGTACTGGTTAATCCTACTGTAAGAGTCTGGCCACAAGATACTTGAACAAAATCATGATCCACCAATTCTGCTATACAAGTTGGCCGGAGTTTTCTCTCTTGATCAAAGTGACCAAGCCTTCCTTTATCAGCGTCTCCCCATGTAAACAATTTTCCGACTGGATTATTAAATTTGGAATGATCAACCATGATTTCAACTATGGCAGCTGTGTGCCATGGTCCACATGCCACAGTCTTTACCCGTAGTCCCTTGAGTGATTCAACTTCCTTAGGATGAGACACACTTTGGGGATTTCCATGGCCAAGGACTCCAAATGTCCCATCTCCGTATGTAAATAATTTCCCGGATGTGGACACAATTGCTGTATGCCATTCTCCACAAGCAACATGAGATACAGTTACGCCATCTAGAGAACCATCAAATCTTTGAGGCAGCCAAGGGCTTCTCATATTATGTTCGTGTGTTAGATCAGTACTATAATTGTCGCCCCATGTGTACAACTCACCTGAAGATGTTATAGCACATGTTTGGTACTCACCACAAGCAACAGAGTTGACATGGATGCCATTAAGGGAGTCAACAATCTTCGGGCAGGTAATATCGATATCAACTTTAAGTCCAAGTCTTCCCCTTCTTCCTTCACCCCAGCAAAATACTTCGCCCTGCTTGGTTACTAATGCAGCATGCTTCCTTCCTAGAGATATGGAAGAGAGATCAAACATCATGGTCGATTCAAGAACTTTGGGCAATAAAGCATCCAATTCCATTCCACCACCTTCCAAATACCCTTTACCTGCTCCCTCCCCCCAGATTAAGACGTCCCTCAAGATATTATTTCCGGATTCAGATGATTCAAGAGGATGTGTCGAGAACAGACTACGCATTTTTGTACTGGCACCAATTGCTTGCTCATTTGGATCTTCTTGCTGAAGAAATGGAGAACTTGGGGCTAAGAAATCCATGGTATTGTGAATGCTTGATAGACTTGATTCCGTGTAAAAACTATCGGACGAGCAAGATAAACCATCCGAAGTACATCTAGCTGAAAATGCCTGAGGTGGACTCCCAGATAAACTGTGTACCTTTTAATTCAATAAAGATATTTTAAATTGCCGTAGAAATAGAGTTAAATGATATTTTCCAACTAAAGGGAGTCAGAGGAAAAAATGTACAATTGTTATGGAGAAGAAAATGAAATCATCAAGAAATATAATGGCATGTATAGAAATTTCAAATCTAAACTTTACGTGCAATGAAGTTAACAGGTGATTTATTTGAATGCATACCATACTATTCTCTCAAGTGCTTTCTGATAAAATTTTGTTAAATTTTATAAATTTCAATTTTAATAAAAAAATTCATGGGACCCACAATTTTTGTTAACTTTTTAATCACACATTTCATCAACTTTTATCAAAATCTGTTAAAACTTTTATCAAAAGCTTTGTCACACAACCCCTAAGTTTTCTGAAGAATTGTAAGGGAAAAAAGACAGTTTTTCTTCTTCCTATAGTATCAGTGGGAAGCAAAAATTGTCTAAGACCATATGGTCTGGTCTATAGAAAGTTGCCCATCAACATCATTTTCAACGGGCAAAGTATGTCGAGAATACTCTCTTAAAAAGTACTTCATGCCACTGTCAAAATCAAAATGTCATTTTATTATAGTATCTGAAAATATCTTCAGCTATCAATTTTTACTTCTGTCATTTACATCTATTACTAATTGAACATTGCCAATGCTTTTAAGAAATATTTCTCAATATACTCAGCCATGTCTCTATAGGAAACCCTCATTTATTATCGAGCACTCTCTAGTAATTAAGCCTATTCTGCTCAACTAATGACACCGTTGCTTTATACTCTGTTGTTTCATGAATATGTTAACAGGAATTAATAATATCATCAACAAAAACTGAACGCGTGGTAGAAACCTGAGAAGATCTAATTTTCTCCTCCAAAAGTATCTGTTTCCTTCTCATAAAACTAGCTGGACTGTTTATGCAGCTTTGTGCCCCTCTTCGTTTCTTCAAAGTACTCAAAAATCCACTACAATATCTACTGGATGTTACGGCTTTCAAACCCAAAAACCAAGTCTCAGCCTGCTCTTTGTCCTTGAATATCTACATAAAGATAAAAGATATGCATGAAAAAAGTTCGATATTGAAGAAAATATTTAATCACACAGGGATGACACTTTTCTGATTACCAGATCAAGGGAGGATTCACCATTTGCATAGACAAGTGAAAGGCACTGACTTTCCCTCTCTGGTTGAAGTTGTTTCTGTAAAAAAGTAGCATGTGGATATGAAATACATAAACATAGCATCACATAACAAAATGATTTTATTAACTTACAGTGGTTTGCCCACGTACAACATTCGTAACTGAGCTTAATCGCAGCTGTCTTTCCTCCTGATCAGTATACCAAATCAAGAATTTCTCATCCTGAAAATCAAAAATTGGAATTCAGGTGTGCTGCCAATTGCATATGTAGAAATTACGGAATCGCAGATAGGAATCATTAGAACACCGAAAGGTTAGAAAATTAGAGATTATCTGTGTAGCATGTTGAGGAAATACTTCTTGATTTCATTCTATTTATAATATATTACTCCACGTTTACTAAAACTTAACAAGAATGTATTCCATAAAAGTATACTCTCCTATAATTTTTGTCCATTATATCACCGACTATAATGCAAGTTCCAGTTTTACAGACACATGCAAAATCTATATGCTTTCTCCTTTCATCAATATTATCCAGCATCATACTTTTCCATAATATCAGCTCAAAAAGGAATCACATTATTTTCTTGATTAAGGATACCTCATTGTTTCATAGATTCAAATTTTAGCAATATTAGTTTCACAGCTATCACAGATTTCTTCAAAACATACAGAACCAAATTACAGAAATTTGTTAACTCAAATTTGATCTCGGTAAATCTTTTTGAAACACCTTATTGGACTAAGACCTAACCAGGTCTTCCATTTCTCCTTTACCAAGATCACAATGATTGACACGTCCATCGTGGGAAAGTTATTTGTACCTCACCTTCTACTTAACAAAGTTTCAGAGTTCCAGCATTTAAGAAAGTGTTGAGAAATTGGGACACAACAATTAATCCTAGACATATGAAGTTGAAAGTATAAATGGAGATATCAGCTGGTCTCACTTAGAGAATGTGAAGAAAGTAGTTAGCGGATGAAGAATTCAATCATCTAACAGAAATAAAATCTGGAAAATTCCACGAATTTGTACTGAAACGGTGGCAAAGGCACTAAAGTTTAGCATTTCAACTTAATTAACCATTCTTCTACACCTGGAAAAATGGATAGACTGTAAGCTTGTACATATTTCTATTTGGAAAAGGACAATGCTTCAAACATAATTACAAGGTCACATTGTCCGAGAGCATCAGTGCATCAATACACACTTGTTTGAATGCATACCGTGGATAATCTGAAAGGACAAAATTTGGGCTTCCCTCTTCTGCCATATTTTAAAAGATGAGCACCCTTCTTTAATGCAACAATTGCCTGTGCAAGGCAGTGAACAATGTAAGAAATACAAAGCATTTTCTATTAACAAAAAGTGTAAAGTAATACTTGTCCAAGCAGTAAATAGTAGAAAGGATCGGTTTGATGAATTTGGTAGATTGAAACGTGAATATATGAATCCAAACAGAATTTAGGATATGATATTCTGTAATTTTGACCAATATAACATATGAATTTGGCTGTTCGAACCTTGAATATGAAAAACTTAAAAAACTTATATGATCTTTTGTCAATTTAGCAATTGATACAAGTATATACTAACCTCGCAGACAAAAGTGTCCTGTGAATCTAAAAAGACAAAAACTAGAAAAAGAAAGACGGAAAATCTGTTATCAGAAAGCGGTGCCGAATTAAATTTTGCACAAAATCCTGGTCAGATCGAATTTATCAACAAGAACAAACATATCAATTTTAAGATTTTCAGTTAAAAATACTTGGATTATGCTTATGTTAGAATCACTTGATGATGATTTTTTTTTTTTTCTTTTTAAGAAAAAAGACTGATCTGAACTTATGTTTCTAACAAATTCCATAGTCAAAAGTTCAATTCCATGACAACATTACACAATAATATCCCTCTAAATCTTTGTGTATCCTACTATAACTTTGAAAAAGACACACAAAAGAACACAATAATCTCAACCAATTAAGAAAAAAATATACACAGAATTAAATTTTAATTTAACATTAGAACTGTAGCAAAATTTTCCTAGTAACCATAGCATCAGAATGAATTATAGCACCTCCGACTCTGACCCCAAGTTGGGATTTCATTTTTTTTTTTTTTTTCTCTCTCCTCTCTCTCTCTCTCTTTTCATTTTGAGAAAAGAAAATGTTCTCCCCTCAATACAAGTAATTCCACTAACTGAATTATCCATGAAATTCACCCATATCAATGAAATATTCATAATACTTTTTACTCTAAAAATCATACTAAAGGAAGTTGAATTTTATACATGGGTCAAGAGTTAAACCTGTTCAACTGCTCTATCAGAGCCAGAGGGGATTAATGCCAACAATTCTTCACCCATTTTCCAGCAATTATGGCAAGTACACGAGCACCATAAAAGAAGAATAGAGAGAGAGAGAGAGAGAGAGAGAGAGGGGGTGGTTGGTTTCCTTATGCAGGAACCTTTAATAACAGAAGAGAATGTATGAAAGCAAAGAATAGAATTTCAAAGCTTACGAGTTACAGTGCTGCAAAGAGAAAGAGAGAGAGATAAAAGAATAGAACAGGGAATTGATTGATTTTCCTTCCTTTTTCTCTTTTCTTTTCTTGTTATTTTTGTTATAAAAGAATAGAACAGAGAATTGATTGATATTTTTGCCTTTTTCTCTTTTCTTTTCTTGTTAGGGATTCTCTATTCTTCCATCATCACTTCGGTTCACCAGTGTTGGCTTTTGGCTTCGAGGGTCGTGCAGAGAGAGATTTGCGCAAGTTACTGAAACACAATCGCACGTGGTATGTTCTGCATTATACATTCATGTACTTTAATATAGGAAATCTGGAAATGTAATCACAAATCTCGCATGATTATTATGTCATTTTCAACCGGCGTTGGATGTTTCTTTTTGTGCCTTTTCATGCAAAATTGAAATTACACATGGAAATGTGAGTTGTTCGGTTCAACTCAATTAATTCTATGCTAAAATTTAGTCGAATCATATCAAAAAAAATTTGTTTGTGATAATCAAATAAATTTAATTATAGGAGAATTATAGCTAGAGTCCCAAAAATTATTGCAAACTATACCAAACCTTTTATTTTTTTATCTCGGGTCTCAAACCTTTAATGACAATGGCAACTAGAGGACATAAGGACGGATTCCATCCACTCCTCCATCATTTGGCCCAAAGATTAAAATTTTGACTTATAATTAAATGAAGGGTAAAATGGTCATATTGCTATTTCCTAAGTTATTTTACCTTTTGCTTAATTGATCGAAATAAGTTAAAATTTCAATTTTTTTGATCAATCAACTGATGGAGGAATGGATGGATTCCCTTAGGGCATCTCCAATTGATGCGCCAAAATACTAAATTTCGGTGAAATTTAGTGCAAAAGCTCTCCAATGTGGCACCAATATTTGCATCCTTTTGCATCAAATGGTGCAAAGTTATATTTGCCATTTTATTCCATTTGTCAAAGTAATTGATGGAGGGTATTTGTATCATTTGTGTTATATATTTTTTAATACAATAATTTTCATCATCATTATTATTATTATTATTATTATTATTATTATTATTATTATTATTATTATTTAAAATGCACTTCGACATGCATTAATTGATCATTTTTGGGAAGAATATACGAATTAAATTGCAATGATATTTCGACTTCGTAATATCATAATATTCAAATTCGATATACATTGCACTATTTTTTAATGGTATGATTTAATATTTTCATTTTTATAATGTTTCTACAAATTGTACTATGTCTTTTGTATTTATTAATGAATTTAATATTTTCGTTAATTTAACATAATTATTTATTAAGTAATTTATATATTTGTAAAATAAATAAATAAATAATTTTTGAATAAAAAAGAGAAGAAAATGATTAAACACTATTCATATAGTATTGGTGTAATAATTGGAGATGATTTATAGTTTTGTGCAAGATTTGATGTCAAATGGTGTAAGCTTGGAGATGATCTGATGTTCTCGAGCTAATATCGTCATTAATTGTTTGAGACCTCGACTGCAAAAATGAAAGGTTTGAATATATTATAATATGCAATAATTTAAAAGATTCGAAACCTCAACTGCAATTATCCTTTTAAGTATTAGTAGTAATCTAAGAATAAAACATCAAATAATTCCTTAAAAGTTTTTGTTTACTTGTTTAAAAGTTGGAACGTACGGAGATCAAATGATTTAGTCTACATTTCTTTTGCTGTGGGGCCTAATTTGCTAATGAAAAGAGGTACACTAGTTACTTACAAAGTGAGACTGAGGCAGTAACTAATGAAAAAGGGGGGGGTTAGATTCTAACAGGTAAAAGTCACAAAATTTTGGAAAAATTGCAATGTTGGTCTTCGACTTATTATCTCAATGGCAAATTAGTCATAACTTTCATAAAGAAACAATTGGTCTCCAACATTTAATTATAGCTGCACAATCAGTTTTCAATAATATTAATATAGATCTCCATTAAAACGACATCAAGTAGTCAGCAATGTCAAAATTTAAGAAGGTATTATTTGTTTCTTAACTTTGACTAATGTCCGTAAATTTGATATTATATATAGGAAGAACCATGATGCTGTGCCAGGGAGGGTGTCAGCAATGTCAAAATTTAAGAAGGTATTATTTGTTTCTTAACTTTGACTAATGTCCGTAAATTTGATATTATATATAGGAAGAACCATGATGCTGTGCCAGGGAGGGTTTTGACACCCTCCCTGACCTATTCTCACATGTGGGAGTCGGTGGGGCCTTTTCTTGCATATAAAATTCACCTCGGGTCCCACCCGACCCCACACCCATGTGAGTATCTGCCAAAAGGGTGGGCAAAAAAGCCCTGGCATAGCAACATATTTCATATAGGAATCATGCTAAAAATACATGATTTCTTAACAGAAAATTTTGACAGACAATATGGAAAGAGAATAAAGAAATCAATTCAATCATTTGCGACCACGTCAGCATAGGTACAAATTCTGTCAAGAATTTCTTGTACTCATGACTTTTTTTCTATACATAGTTGGTTTAAGGCCCACATAAATTTCCAAATTTTTGGGACTTGTGAAACTTGTAATGAATTTTTCCTCTTTCTTTAGGCCCGTAATTAGAGCATGTTAGGCAAGTTCATATGCACATAGTTGCACAAAATTTAGGATAATAACAATGTTGAAAAATATGTTAGCTATTAAGGTGAAATTCTAATTTAGAATCATAGGAGATGGTATAGACAAGTTCGAGTGTAAAAGGATTGTTAATATTTACTGGTAAAAAATTAAATGATTTTCAATCGTTTATCGTGTTATAAATAGAACCTTTTTTTATAAAATTTTACGACATACTTTATTACAGACAATGCCACCAATTCCGAACACATAACATGTATCAGTCTTATACTCTATCTAGTCGGGTGACGTGAAAGTAATGGATTAATGCTTAATTAACAACCAATCTCCTTAATAATTTAACACATAATCACAAAGTTAAGTTGGCTATTAAACAACAACTAACTTCCATTGCTTTAACACGTTTGTAGGACCCTTAAATCTAAGCCAAAGATAAATTGTGGGACCCCAAATTATTTGACACTTAAAAGTATATATTTACTCATTTTCATTTTTTTTTTATTATAATTTTGTAAAATTCCCTTGCCTAAGGTCCAAAAGGCTTTTTCATAATAAGCAAACGTGTAACGTTAATTATTTATTTAAGGAAAAGGGAAAGGACCTTTAACATAAAGGGCTTATTTTCACACTTTTTCATGGTCGTGGTGGTCAAGATATTATAAATTTACTTTCCCATATTCATGCCTTCAAATTATTTTATGAAAAAACTATTTCATGTATTTATTTTTTAAGTAAAATCTAATATATGTCTAACTGTATACACTTGAATATATTACATGATTAGTCGCATCTTTACTTGTGCACATTATCCTAATCTAAAGGGTCGAGAAATTTTATTTTGTGCACATCATTTAAACAACCGATTTGAAATTCGAAAAGCAAGTTGATAGCGAAAATTTGTTGTCATTTTGCTCCTTTTTTCGGAAAGAGGGTTTGTACATAGAACTCCTATGTGTTACACTATTCAAATTGCAACTCTTGAGATGACACGAGTCAAATTGATGGGGCTATTGGATAGAAGTTAAAAAAAATGAGGCCCAACTATCTTTTTCAACTTGTTTTTAATTGTTAATTTTCTAGAAAATAAAAACATTTAAAAAAAAAGTCTTTTGTCCATAAAAATAATTAGGAATCGAAATCAAGAACCGATCAGGTCCATGATCGTTCATGGTTCTTAAATCGAAATAATGTATATCTAACTCTAGAACTAAATTTGTCATTTTCTATAATTATTATTTTTTTTACAAATTTGCATCATGACCCAATGACTCGACCCAACAAGTAGTGAGTTTGCAAGACTCAACAAATAACAAGTTAGCAAAGCACAAATAGTAAGCACCATAATACATCACATACGCGCGCACACATTACGATTTGGTAAGAGGGGTAAGCTCAGTCCAAGATACATTGATCCTTTTGAAATTTTAAAAGGGATTGGAAATGTTGCATATCAATTAGCTTTACCACCGAAGCTTTCAGCTGTATGCGATGTCTTTCATGTATCAATACTCAGAAAGTATGTCCGTGACCTAACTCGTGGTGAGACATCAACCATTAGATATTCAGCGAAACCTAAGTTACGAAGAAGCACGAATATGCATCGTAGCTCAAAATGTACAGAAGCTTCGTAGGAAAGAGATACCGCTAGTCAAAGTGTTATAACAACATCACTCTGTAGAAGATGCTACTTGGAAGCGAGAAGTGGAAAAACATTCCAAGTATCCACAACTCTTTGAGGAGTTTCAAAGTAAATTTTGAGGACGAAATTTATTTAAGGGAGGTAGGTGTAATGTCCCGAATTTCTATTGCTAGTCGCTAACTTATAAATTAGGACTTAAGTGAGCTATTATTACAATCAAATGACATTATCAGTTATTGACCAAGTTAAATGACCTTATTGATTACTGGTCAATAGTTTGAGGACCAAAGTGAAGAGTTAATTTTGAAGTTAGTTAAAATCATGTGTAAAATATATATAAATATGCCAATTAGCCATAATTAAATATGGTTTATTTGACCACATGCATTATTCACTACATTTTAAGCAATGTAATTGATTTGGTCGCATAAATAAAGGTAATTAATTTGACTACATGCATTATTTACACCAAATTTCAAGTCAAGTGAAAGGATTTGATCACATAATTAAAAATATTAATTTGACAAATTTCGAGACAATGCGTCAATTATGCATTGGCCATGCCTAATATCTAGCCACTCTTGACCGCATTTTACATGACCTAGGCAACCGCCTAGGGCCTCCAAAAATGTGGTTTGGGTCCAGGGCCTCAAAACTCATAGTAATACCACCAAGGAAGTCCAGCAGAAACTTAGAACCTGCAGGAAATTGAAGGACACGGGAAGGAAATTGAAGGGACGGGAAGGAAAATGAAGGCAAGGGATTGATTCGACCAAAAGGTAGTAAGTCGTCTTCTTCAATTCAGATTTCAGTTTGTTGATTACTTGTTTGTTCCTTTTTATATTTTCATAATTTAACCCTTTCTCCAGATTTTCCACCGATGAAATACGTTTGAAATCTGGGTTTGAATCTATAGAGACTGTAGAGAAGAACATAGTAAAAAATGGTGTTCATTACTGAAGATATCATCAAGCAATTTGGAACTATGATGGAAAAAAGTCAGCTTTCTCATAAACATTCTTTTTTTTTTCTTCTTTTTTTTTTTTTTGAGTTTTTGATCTCTTGATCTGGGAAAAAAGTCAACTGATATGTTGCTAATTTTCATTGTAGCTGATCTGTTGACGAGCCATTGAAGAAGACTTTTGAGGTTTGGCATCGTTGCTGATCTTTTTTTGCAAATTGATTTTCTTGAATCCGGGTTCTGCTCTCTTGTTCTGCTTGTTTATTCACTTATTTATTGTCTGAACTGGGGAATTGGATATTGTGATAGTCAATATCTAATCAAAGAACTTCTATGATTTGAGAGAGGATGTGACTAATATTTCATAAATTAATTCTTGTCTAGTCAGTTTGAATGTAAAAACTTGGACATTGGGAGGGTACATTTGAGTTTCTGAGATATCAAAATTAAAGTTCTAATGAAAATGCGATCTTCAGATATGTCGAGTTTTTCTTTGATTTGATTTGGTTTTGTTTTGTGGTTCAGTTTTTATACAAGAATTTGATGTCCATTGAGTTGTCGGGAAATTAGGAGTTGGAGTTCCTTCTTTCGTATACATCCCTCAAAATAAATTTTCGCTTAGAGCCTCCAATTTTTTTTTTGATCGGTAAATGTGAATATATTGATCAAAATTGTACCATGTACAAATACACCGGGCATACCCGGGCAAGACAATGTCCAAATAAAATACAAGTACACCGGGCATACCCGGGCGAAACAAAGTCAATGATAAGTACAAGTACACCGGGCATTCCCGGACAAATCAAACTCCAAAACCAAAACAACTACTCCGGGCATACCCGGGGGACACAAAGAAGGCAAAATACATAAGAGATCAATGATCCACGGCCAAGGATTCAAAAAGAATCAAGACATTCGGATATAAAGTAAACATGACTTTGTATACGTGTGTCTTGATCCTTCTAGCAATAGAATCCAAGTCAGCCGGGAGGTCTTCAAAAATCTTCCTATTCCGCGTAAGCCATATGTAGTAAGCTGTGCTAGCAAGAGCAACTGTCTTCGTCTTGGTCAGCCACGAAATTCCACATTCTCCTTTTTCATCCACTTAAGCGCAATGGCAAGTGTAGACATAGATCTTGTAATGCCAAGCCATCTCCTAATGCTCCCCCATAATGAGGAAGTGAAGGAGTACTTAAAGAATAGATGGTCACAAGTTTCCTCAAAAAGTCCACAAAAAACACACCTCCGATCAATATCCAAGAAGAGTAGTTTGTCTTTAGTTAGTAGCTTTGATTGGGCTGCTAACCAAAGCAAGAAAGAATGCTTCGGAGTGATGCATGGCTTCCAAACTTCTCCTCCCCACGGCTTCAAAGTACCTTTATGCCTAAAGTAATCATAGGCAATTTTTGTTGAGAATTTATCATGCATAGAACAGCCCAGATTTTGAGTCCAAGATTCAAAAAACTGCCTATCGAACAAAGTTGTCTACCGGCCAGAAATGCTGTTGAATGAAGGGCCAGAATTGTGGTCGTGCAGAGCACTCCCAACCCCAAAAAATCGTCGATTTAATACCCTACCATCAATCGATGTGTCCCCGTTACCCCCCTGATCAATCTGAAAATGATGAGCCACTGTTATTTCCTCTCTTCTACGGTTATTTCGATAAAAATCTATAATAATTTAACGTTATTTTTGATATTCATGGTGTCGGTGATAAATTCATTGTTAAATTTATCCTCTAGTTGTGCTAGGAAAATTGAGTGTACAACATTATTTGATAGTGAAAGATTTAACTGAAGTTCGACTAATAAATAGACATAAGCATATAGTCAAATCACATTAAATCAGGTGTTCCTTTAGTTCTTATTTAGATTGTGGTTTTATTTTTTTTCCCTGTCTAGTTAACTAAAGAAGCTTGGAGGTAGAAAAAACTATTTATTAATATTTATAATTTAATATTGGGTAAAGAAAAATAAACTCAAATGCAGATTCAAAAGGGTGAGATTCCAACCTTTGTTTGTTGGCCAGTTATGGGAGGTGGGGTTTGGTCCATCTGGTATCTCTTAACGAGTTAATTGTTTCAATGATCACTGAACTTAGATTCATGTTTTTGATTTGTTATTGAAATTTAAAATATCGAATTTTGGTCACTGAATTTAGGTTTATGTCTTAGATTGCTTGCTAAAATTTAAAATGTTAAGTTTTGGCCACTAAAATTTGAAAAAATGTTGTACATTATTCACTGAACTTTGAAAAATATTGTACATTACTCACTAAATTTTGAAAAATGCTGTACATTATTCACTGTAAACTTGATATTTTTCAAAATTCAACAATTATGCTTGTGAGTAACGTACAACATATTCCAAAATCTAGTGGCCAAAATTTGACATTTTAAATTTCAATGAACAATTTAAGACATGAACATAAGTTCAGTGAGTAATCGAAGACATTGACTTAATTTCAGTGATCAAAAGTCAGCGTTTTAAACTTCAGTGATCAATCAAAGATATGAACCAAAGTTCAATGATCATTGGAACAATTAACTCTTCTTGCACTCTTTCATTACGTTCGTAATGAAGTCCATAAAAATAAAAAATTTCGGTTCAAATTTCATCATTATTTATTTATGATTAGAACAGTTACATGCATTTTTAGACATTGGAAAGTAAATAAATCCTTTCTACATGCGATAGAAGACGTTAAAGATAAAGTTTAAATTAATACATTAATCTTTCTATTTTAACTTTAATTTTAGATAAAATAGTTCATTGTTAAAAGATAAACCGTATATGGGTTCAAGTTAAAAACAAATAATCAACATATAAGGATTTTGGTTATTATTATTCTTAATATCAAGGATCTTCTATAAAGTGGAATTATAAGAGTAACGGTAGTTTCAAAGCTGAGAAAGGTAAAACAAATAATTTGTTCACTTAAGATTGGTGACATTGTATATAAATAGACGAAATAAATTATACCAACATATAAAAACTTAGATTATTCCTTTTTATAATATTAACCTTTTAGGATAAGTACTCAAGACTCGAATTATCACATCCCAATCAACCCAACTTAAACACAATATAGTCGTGCTAGGCCAATAATTTTACACTTCAAATCTCAAGACGTCGTTTACGATAGAATTTGTATAGTTGGAAGCTTTGTTACGGACAATCCTTCAGGACAACCCGAAATGGCCATTTGAGGTAGGTCCCTTTATTCTGTCTACTAGATTTCCATTTTCCACACATAACATAATCAATCCAGCATGCTTGATACAAATATTGATGTTACACCGGGACAGAAGTAGAAATTAACAGCAGTAAAAAAATTGCTTGGTTTGTACATTAAAAAATGAAAAAAAACAAAAAAGAAAAAAGAAAGAGGGCAATACGACTTTTTAAAAGTTAATATAATTTCATTATTATAAATTTCCTTCCACGTCATGGTTTATAAATAGCAATATAAAAGAAATCCAATTATAAGAGATCATTTCCCATCTCGAGGCATGAAGCAACAATAACCACAATTCACAACTCTTAGAAGAGCTACAATATCACCGAGGAATATTGCATTTGCTGTGAAGCTAAAGTCTGCTTACAAATTCTGAATTATCCGAAGTGCGTCGATTTTGTCAATGGAGATATGGATGTTATTCATCTTTAGCGGATAGCCACTGTCTCAGTGTCCTCTTTCATTAAGCCACCATCGATGCATTTAGCACAAACTGCAATTGTCACTTTATTGTGCTTGTGGATAACCCCGAAGCCAATATGGCTTTGTCCCAAGAGTATTGCTATGTCTATGTTTAGTTGAATCTCAAGGACAATACGTTTTTAAGACAACCTCTATTAGTTAATTTTTCATAACACTAATTCTTTCTATCGGACTTCTATAAACATTTCTACGTACAAATTACATTTTTCGTCGACGAGGGAATATGGTTTTAGCATATAAAGAATCACCTAACATATCGACTAGGTGGGTCAGTTTCCACATGAGGATTTGTCACACTTCAAAGCCACTTATTTTATGGGCTGACTTGATTTATAAAGTCTATGTACGTGGGACATGTCCATTGAACACAAGGCTGAGATTTATCATGTCCACATGCATTTAGAAGATGATACAAAACATTAGGTTCCCCTAATTGACAGAAACTAGGAAACATGCTTGGATCAAAACATCCATATGCGACGTATGTGACCTAAAAATATGTTGCTTATAATGTCAAAGATTTGTGAAAGATTATAAGATAAGTATTAGAAGAACAGTCGTGTTTATGAATTTCAGGTCACATCTTACCTTCTCATCTACAAAGATAAAGATGGTAATTAAATAGAACGACCCTCTCCGTCTCACTCCCTACTGGAGTTTTCAAGAGGCAAACATGGTAGTAATTAAAACATTCTCATTTACTGCGTTGCTTTATTTATTAGTTTTTATTTTCGTATATAATCTAAATTTAAAAACATAAATAAAATAAAAATAAGAGCTGGGACAACGAACATGTACTTCGTCCCTCCTCTAATTTCCTGACTGGACGAGGCATAATATTTTCTCAATCCTGATCGAAGAAAATGTTTAGTGGGATAAGCGATTGATTTTCATCTTTGTAATAGACGTCATTTAGTATGCGTTTAGAGGGATTTTTTTTTTTTTGAATAAATTTACTAACTAGTTAATTGAGCTCAAATTTAAAAATATGATTTTCATATTTCTAATTTTCAATCAAAATCTAATTTAATCAAATTGACCTAAGTTTTATCCAAATCTATTATTTTACTATAGTGCCCATTTTTATCGTTCTGGACAAATCGAATTGAAGTTCAACGGTCTTCCTTTTAACTATTCTAAGATCGCTGTCTTTCTCTTCCTATGATTTTAACAATCAAATTTATGAAGAACTCTACAAAGAGAGATGCAAAATATACATAAGATTTGACTACGTTATTTTGTAAGAACTAAGATTAAATATATCATTAGGTGAATTAATGTAACTTTATAAGTATTAAAAAAATTAATTGCAGTACAGAACTTGGGAACCGAACCGACTAAACAAAATCAAGCTCGAACGGTTCCATAATTAAATTTGACTCCTACGGTTCCACTTATTAAATATCCGAAAACTTCTGGTCTTCTTCAATTCTCGTTAGAATCGAATCGAACCATGTTCAGCTCTAACTATATTTCTATTTTGTATCTTTTATGGCTGCGGTATATTAAAATTACCATTCCATTCAATGAAATTCTACGACTACGTTCCTATCAAATCATTAATAGTCATACTTTCTCATCAGTGGCTTGAAGCATCGTCCTTAATTTTCAACATCACTAACGATATTGTCCTTGATATTCAATAATACCTGATGAAGGAGTTTCGGTAATATTCAATGGCAACACTTTCGAATTTCGATGATTCTATCTAAATCAACAAAAGATATTAATTTTTAATCAAAATCACTAATTGTCATTT